CTATTCCTCATTGTCAGTATTTGATCTTATTTTCTTCCCCTAGCTAGAACAGGGAGACAGGGCAAAACGTACTTCTGCTGGCCTACGCATCCCCAGTACCAATGCCAATCCTAATATTTAGTTCCGCAATCCGAGTGAAAGCAAGCCGAGAACTCACAAAGGTATTCCAGAATCATCGTTGCTCCTAAAGTCAGCGGTTAGCTTCCGGAGAGTCAAAATTTAGTGATAGTGTAATTTGGTGAAGAGAAGAGAAAGATATTAGGAGAGGAAACGTATCGAGATGTGCGGTAGCAAACTGAGGAATGAGATTACAGTAATCATAGGTAGGTATAACTTACCATCCACCCCTTTCTCTCTGCCATCCTTATCACCTTTCTCTTTACGTGGTGCCATGATCTACCTGAAAGACAGAGAGAGCTGTCTATCTGTTTTGTTGGGATAAACGTTAGCACCTGGGAAGACACTAGGCATATATAAAGGCATGTAGTAATCATCCCCGGGGGGCAGTTGAACCGCAAAAGCGAGACCAGAGAAATGGAAAACGGGACAGGGGTGGGTACTTAGGTGCTCTGTACAGCCCGTATTCGAAATGGTAGGAAGATTGGAGAAAACGCGCCCGTCTAGATGCTCAGCATATATAATTCAGGGAGGAGCATGAGATGCAAAGCGAGTGAAGAGGGAGAAAGATGCGAAGAGACACAGGAAAGACTCTTCACTTCCCCGCAGAGGAACCGTCCAGGGGGACAAAAGGGGGGAGGGGGTTTGGTTTGCGGAGGAGGTAGATTTACAGCTCGATCACGTGGCTGAAGCTAGCTGCAACTGGACAGAGCCCCTATGGATGTTGTTGAGAACCATACACACATACACCAGGTGTATCCGGAGGATATATAAGGATATATATGGGGTATATATGGGGTATATATGGGTAAATGGCAAATGAAGACATATTTACGTACGCACGCATAGGTAAAGATGGAAGAGAAGAAATTAGGGTTGTATTTTTGCTTCTTTTGACACATTGCCGTTATAGAAGGAAAAATGAACGAGGCAAAAAGAAGCCCAGAATGAAGCATGGGTTGATATAGTAATTGAAACGAGAAATATTGAACCAGAATGCGAAAAAGAGTGGAAAGAACCATTCGAGATGGAAACAAGCACCCGAGTATTAAGAAAAATATAAAAAGACAAATGAAGAGGGTCTGTCTATGCGCCAACCGCATTTCAACGAAAAGCCAACCCAATTCACAGCTCCGTTGTGACGTGTGGCCATATACATCTGATGTAAACTTCCATATGGAAAAGAAAACAATATTTCTGTTGTTCTCCACCTCTTCACTCTTCTGTCCAAAGAAGGATTCTATAGAGACGGCAGGCGGCATGAGGAAATGAGAAATTGATAGAACCAAAGGCCGGGAAAAGTTTAAACAAAAGCCAAAAGAGAAACAAAAACCAGTCTTTTTAAAAGGGAAAGGGGAGAGAGCATGAGAAGCCAGAACTTGAAGAGTTTGGCGTTATGTACTAAAGTGGGCAGTGGAACGTGGGAAAAATAGAGGAAGAGTGCTATAATATTCAAAACGGATAAATAGCTAGGCCATTACCCTATGACCTGATGTGATTGTGGAGCGCTTGGAAGGGAGGTGGACAGCCTACGCATGCCGATAAGGGGAGCGGAATCCACCCCCCGTTATCTTAAATGGAAAAGAAGAGATATGCACGGAATATTTTTTTTTTGAAACAAAATACCCGAATTAAAATAGGTTGTGATTGGAGAACGGACTTGTCGAAAAGTGGGAACCAAAGTAAGAAAAAGGGAAGCAGAAAAAACAGAAAAAAACTCCATATCGCTGTGCCGGCTCTAAAAGAGGAAAATGGGTAGGAAGAATAATTAATGCGAGAACGGCAAAATATATCGGCAAATATAAAAAAACCAAAAAAAAAAAAAAAAATTTACAAAGTAGAGAGAAATCAGAAAACGGCCATAAATAATAAGTTTAAAGTAAAATGGGAAAGGTGGGTATCACATCACGATCTGCGGGAAAGCGAAATAGAATTTGTCAGCCAGAAGAAACATACAACTTAAAACGAGAGCGACAAAATAAAGGGAGTATCAACTTACACAGTCACTATCACCCTTCCCCTGCGGCACTCCCATCTCTTCAAACGTCTTCGGTCCCTTACCTGGCAATCCAGAAACAGGCTTCTGCCCCGCTGGCCCCTGCTGACCGGGCCGTCCAGCCGACGAAGCCGGCGCAGCGGAAGTCTGTTGCGGCCTCGATTCGCCGCGGGGCGGATACTGACCGGACGACGGGATTGGAGACGAAGCCACGCGGTTGTTCCCACGAGGGCCTTGATGTCGGTGGGGGTGTGTAGCACCATTGTGGGCATTGGCATCTGGACGTTGCGGGTGTCTCCGTCGGTCCGCACCGGATGGGTCTGGCGGCGCAGAGAAGCCGATGTCCAGTTTTGGAGTAGTGGCTTGCGGTCTATAGGCTCCTTGCTGTGGTTGTTGGTGATGTGGCGGTGGCGGTCCGTCGCCAGAGGTTATGCGGTTCTGAATGGGGTTTGCGGAATGGGAGCGGATGTTGGGATTGCTTCCGAACGAGCTGGGGCGCATGTTTGGACTTTTGTATTGGTTTGATGGGCTGCCGTAGCTGGAATTAGGTCCGTCAGGATATGGAGCTGCAGACATGGGGCGCTGGTGCATGGTGTCCTTGCTGGAAATGGTCATGCGTGATGGGTCTGGCATCTCAATGGTATCTTGTTGTTGAATAGGCTGCACGCTCTGGAGTTCTTGGTAGCGCTGAGCCCGACCATGGGAGGCATATTGCGATTTGATACGTGCAATGGCGACGCGCTCATGATCCTTTCTCGACAGAGTCTTGGATCGCGATATGCTGTCGATCCGGGAGCTGGCATCCTTGTTACCCTTGGCTGCAGCCTTTGCATACCACGCCCGTGCCTCCGTGATGTTTACGGGAACGTATATTCCAATCTCGTGAAAATAGCCCATAGCGAATTCTGCGGTGCCAAGGCCACTCTGAGCAGCCCGTTTTGCGTAGGTATATGCCATCTCGTCATTTTTCTCGAAGAGCCCCTCATGACCGCATAGGAACCATTTGCTGATCGCCATTTCAGCTTCAGGTTCACCCTGTCGTGCAGCAAGCGCATTATAATGCAGAGATAAAGCAGGGTTAAAATCACAGCCAAGCTGACAGAGCTCATAGGCAGCTCCCATTTTCACCTGTGCCTTAGCAAAACCATGGTACGCCGCCTTCTCGATATTCATCCGGGCGGCTTCCAGGTCAATAGGAAGATATTCATCGGGAAGAGCGACTTGGGGAAGTTCACGCGCTAATAGCATTCCATATACCTGTACAAGAAAACAAAGATCAGAGAGTATTTAATTAGCGTGGCACTGAAGAGGAGTATTTTCATAAAAGCGTAGGCCTTACATATGCTCCCTGTGGGGCATTTTCGTCGCACGTCTGCGCAGCATATCGAATATGATCCAGTCCGGCGGCAAAGTCTTGGTGCTGACCATGTTGACCCAAGAGGATCATCATCCCAAGTCTCTATATTTTAAAAACGGATTATGTTTGTTAGAAATGAAGTACTTCCTCATATTGTTAAACTTTCCGCGCCTTCCCTCCTCCTGCAAATATAGTTCGTACTTACATAGTTCGAAGCGGAATCTCCAAGCGCGACTCCTCGTTCATAATGTTTAATCGCCTTGTGTGGTTCGCCGGAATTCTCGAACTGCATACCTATTCGGTATTCTGCCCGTGCATGTCCCTTCTCCGCCGCTTGTGAATAGCATAGGAAAGCCTCTTTCTTATCCACGCGGAAACCAAATTTGCCAAACTCGAGCCACATCGCTTTGATAAACAGGGCTCTGGGGTGGCCTTGGTCAGCCAGGAAGGATACGACATTGATCGCGTCTGTTTTCACCTGATGCTCCACCTGCGGCGTTTGCGGTCGCGGGGGTTGGATGACAGCCATGCGGATTTCGTTTTGCATGGCGACTTCGACGTAGGAGAGAGCGTCCTGGGCCCAGGCCAGCTGCATTTCCGGATCATTGGAGCTCAGGACAGCGACGCGCCCACTTTCCAGATTTGCTTCTCGTTGCTCATCGGTTGGAGGGACGTTGGGAGGGGGATCTCGTAGGACGGGGAAGGGGGAGAAATTAGGAGTCTCGGTGGTGGATTGCGTGTGCTGCTTGTAGGCCTGCTGGCTATAGGGGTCTGAGTACGCTTGGTCATTCTGTGGATAGTTCTGTTGAGCGGCGATCGACGATGTTCGACTTGGGAATTGTTGTTGCTGTTGTGGCGCCAGTTGTTGTTGTGGTTGTGGTTGTGGTTGCTCGTAATCATACTGGCCGAATTGGCTACGTTGGCTTGCCATGCTTCCTGGACCGTAGGCTTCTTGTTCGAGATGGGCAAGGTTATCCTGCATGTTTTCGGGGACGTCTGGCATAACCCTGGGAAGACAGGCCGAGTCAGAATAGTACCTAAAGGAGACGAAGAAAAAAGTCGGGGGAAATTATGGAGGGAAGGGGTTTCTTTCTCATTCATAATTTTTCACACTTCTTCTCGGTTTTTTATTTTATTTTTATTGTTCTCAAGTTACCTTTGCGGTGCCGGGGAGATGACTTCAGGCATTTGGAAAGCATCAACATGCCCTGGGTAAAAAGTTGCGCCCATACGAGGATTGGAAGACTGGTGGTGAATAGGCATGGCGTCAAAGGGAGGGAGGGACAGCTTAAGAATAAAAATTAATAATAATAGAAAAAAAAAAAAACCTCTTTATTTCCTGCACCCAAGTCTGGCTGCCAAGGTCCAGCAGGGAACTGGCTAGTTACCGGCTGGGTTGTTGCTGGGGATATTTGGGAGTTTGGAGAGGATGCTCTGACCGCGTGAGATCAGCTAATTTGAGGTTTATATGCAGTGTGAATCTGTCATCGAGGAGTGGACACCGCTGTATTGAGCCCAGTGAGCCTTGGGTTCACGAGTCTCGGACTGTTCAGTCGGTGATCGTTGTAGTGGATGTGATGGTGGTGGTGGTAGTGGGGTAGTGTTTTGACCAGGGGAAGATAACTATATTAAAGCGATTAAAGAAATTGGCGGATGTTGGTAAGCCGCGTTCGACCCGCTAACTAACACGCCGAAACCGTGCCTTAAATGAGGCAAATAGTTTGGGATAATCAGAGAGAAAACAAAAACAAGAGTTTGAAATAGTGATAATAATAGCAATAGGGGATAAGAGTGTCCATACAGTCAGATGCCCACCGGTTTGTTATGTCGGCTGCTGTTGAATTGTGAACTCGATAAAATATAAATATATTTCGCGGTCAGCTCCTTGCTGCATGTGGGACCAGTCAGAGGCGTGCAGGATCTATTGGCAATAATTCATGGATAATTCATTTAAAAAGAATCTTCCGAGTTGGCGTCTGTTCAGCGTCTGACCAAGGTTAGGGAGGGGTGGGGATTCCGCTTGAGGAGGCAGAGTATCCACCCCAAGTTCGTTTTTTTGTTTGTTTTTTATGTATTATGTTTTAATTAATTTATAAACCTTAAAGAAAAGTCTGTTCAGCAGCTCAGACAGCGCTTCTAGATTAGTTATCTATCTTTTATCAAATAGTTATTATATATACTAACAACAACAACATCATCATCATCATCAACAGCAACAGTGAATTGGCACTTGAAGAATAACAAGTTAACAGCGCCGGGGTTTGGATATTCTCATGTCACCATATCGTCATATGTTGGCGTTCAGGCTGCTTCAAATACAGCCACAGCAGAGATCAACTGTGGTTAGTAGTTACCACTGCCACCCTGTCCATGAGTCTAATTTGTTCCAAGGTGCTTCTCCTTCCATGGTCATTTTCGCTAGGCTCTGTAACTAGTTACATACCGGGGTCAGATCCTGTTGCTAGCCTTGTCAGTCCTACTCCGTGCGTAGCGTAGCTTGTCTCTCTGTGGCTGCTGAGCTTTGTTCCTGTGGCTGCGCATTTTCCAGCAGCTTGTCAGCGCCCCAGAATGCCTGGGAACACTCAAGCAATAATTAGGAACCGCTGGAATTGGCTCGCTTCCCTGATTCAGGTTGCTCGGGCTGAACCAGCACAATATAATAATAGTTCATAGTGCACTTTGCCCGTGACTGTTCTCTTCGTATGATTGCTAATACAGGGGCCTGTGGATCAGCGTCCATCTCTTTGGATAGGTTAGTCAAAATCGTCTCCCATATTTCTCATACATCCACGTTCGTAGTTCTGAGGCAACAGCAGGAGATACGAGAGAGAAAGCGTCTGTTCCCTAATTTAGCACTGTTGAATTCGATTGCCTCGTTTACAACGCTGCATCAAAAATAGTCACCTTCTAACCCTGCACAATGCCACCACAGACCGATGCGTGCCATCCTCTCAGTCGAAAGCCTTCCAAAGCCACTTTTGTCTTTTCCATCAAAGCTCCAGAACAGAAAAGGCCATCGGGAGTGACGTCCCAGACCACTACACTGCATATACCAAAGCATACAAAGTTTGTGCAGCTGTGGCGGTACAGGAGCCAATGGTGCTTTTGGGCATTGTGAATTGCTGGGTTATGGGCGAAGCATTGTTTGAAAGCAAAGTGAGAGAGTATAAGGTGCATGAGGGAGGACGAAGCGACCAATTTCACATCTTCAGCCGAGAGAGATATTCAGTTTTGTCTGCCTCGGAACCCAATGCTGACAATCTCAGAGCCTCATGCACAGAGGACATCCCTAATTGGGAGCTTCGGTACGTAACTAGAGACCAGCAACATGGATTCCCTGGAATTATCTTGAGCAAGGAATCATAAGATACTAGCCGCCAGCTTGATGCATTTGTGCTTGTCCTGCGTCTGGTCCTTGTTATATATGTAAGGAGGTGTTTACCCGTGATCTCCGCCAATACTGGATTACAGCCACTATTGCCTCGGAAAAGGGTTTTATAATGGTAATGGAAGCATGCAAAGTAAGAACTGTTTCTCTGGGCTTCCGGGCTTTCAACTCGACGATTGTAAATGAGGGCGAGGGCAACGAAGGCAATTGATGCTGGATATATTGAGTAATACATACCTATGGGGGTTTCCCCTTTCCTTTCCTTTTCTGTTGTTGTTGTAAAGTTGTTCATACATGTTTAGCCTCGAGAAATAGTAGATCTTGCAGATTTTGTGGTGAGAAACGCGTGCCCCTGATTTTTTGGAAGCAGACATTACCTCACGTTTTATAGGTCATGGAGGGTAACCGAAATACAATAATAAACTGAGGGCGAGGCGAATAATGGGGTGACTGATCATATAGATCTGCGTTGTTTTCGTATAATTTTACAAGATGTTGGATGGCGAGGTCTTGGCACAATCAATCCTAGTCGAAGGAACGGAAACAATTTTAAGACCCTAAAATATCTCAACGCTCCGGACTCTGCGAGACATAACAGACTATGACTTTGTAACAATGATGGTTATGCTGGCTTATTATTCCTCTGCCATTTCGATGCCAAATGCCAGATACCTAACTAGTATTAACTAACTATATATCAGCACATCGCTGAAATAAATCTCTAGCTGTCAGCCATGGCCGTGGCCAAAAAGACCTCATCTGAAAAAGCCTTCCACCATCCATTCACGCCGTATGATATACAGCTTCAGTTTATGCAAGCATTGTATGAATGTATTGAAGAGGGCAAGGTTGGAATTTTCGAGTCGCCCACAGGTAAAGTGGCATCCCATACAAATTTAAAAGTTGAATTATTGATCTAACAAAGGTCCTTAGGAACTGTATGTATAAGTTCATTTATGAGGTCATAGCTTGTCTATGATTTCAACGAAGATGCAATTGACTTTAATTAACTTCAATATGAGCTTGTTGCATATGCTTTGTCTCTAAATGCTCTTCTTTTTCTTTTTAACAAAGCGCTGCTTGAAGAAGAGTCTTGAAGCGATCTTGCATAAAAAACAACAGCAAACCTCCACATGGAGATTGCGTATTACAGTCTCTAACACAGTGCACGATTACGTAGGGCAAATCGCTCAGCTTAATATGTGGCTCTTTATCATGGCTTCGCGATCATAAGCGCGAGATCTTTCTCAATACCATTGACCAGTCGCTCTGTTAGTGCTCCCATATTAACACGCGCTGGAATTTGAATTGAATCTAATGTTCTATGCTGTAGCTGACGGGGAGCCGGAATGGATTCTGGAACATTCACGGCGAGAAAAAGCAAGGTCTGCAAGGGAGAAAAGAAAGCAATGGGAAGACCGCTTGGCGAAAGTGCGTGCGGAGGAAGAGCGTCAACGAAAGAAATGTGAGGATGGTAACCTTCCTAATAAAAGAAGGGTATGACTGCAATTTAAAGAATCTCGGGGATGGCTCCTGCTAACACTATTTGCCATAGAGATTGAATGCGGAAGATGCTGGTTCTAAACAAGACCACGATGAGAGTCAGTTTGAGCTGGAAGGTTACTATAGTGACGATGATGAACGAGTTGCTACAAGTTCAATGACGAAAAATGATGGCATTTTCTCTGTGGATACGCTGGCTTTGCTTGAGAAGCTAAAAGGTGGTCCTGTTGATACGAATGTTGACATTGAGCAAGAAGACGAAGTTCAGGTTTTCTACTGCTCAAGGACACACTCTCAACTGACCCAATTCGCCCATGAGCTCCGGCGAGTAAATTTACCTCCAAGTATACCTCCCGAAGTTGATGACGATAAAGCTGCTGCAGATGCTGTGTCGAACGGGATTGGTAGCTTAGAAGAGACTCTGAAGCATCTCTCCCTCGGGTCTAGAAATACACTTTGTATCAATCCAAAAGTGCGAGCTCTTGGTAACCCAACAGCTATAAACGAAAGATGTTTGGAGATCCAACGCCCGGAAACACCAGCTGAGCATAAATGCTCATTTGTACCCAACAAAGAGAATGAAGTGCTTGTCAATGATTTTCGCGACCATACTCTAGCCAAAGTGCTGGATATCGAGGATATCGGTAAGATAGGGTCTAAAATAGGTGTGTGTCCCTACTACGCCTCCCGGTCCATAGTTAAGTATAGCGAGGTAAGTGTGTTGTTGCGTGCGGAAAATCATTATATTCTCAATATAGCTAATAGGTTTGTTTAGATCATTACTTTACCATATCCTCTTCTCCTCCAAAGGTCTGCACGAGAAGCATTGAACATCTCTCTCAAACATCATGTTGTAATTATTGACGAAGCTCACAATCTCATGGACGCCATTTCTAACATACATTCTGTTTCTGTGTCGCTGTCACAGCTCAAATTAGCTCTGTACCAGCTCACCACGTACGCCCGGAAGTACAAAACCCGTCTAAATGGGAGCAATAGGGTGTATGTCACGCAGGTCATTCGGCTCGTGAACTCTATTTCCGAACACCTGAAAACGGTTTTGGAACGAAATCGGCCTGCTGAAGGTGTCTTACGCCCATCTGACATCATGTCAGGGAAAGGGGTTGACCAAATCAACCCGCACAAGCTCTCACGGTATCTTCATAAGAGTAAACTGGCAAGGAAAGTTGATGGTTTCATTGAACATTCATCAACGGAGTCGCAAGGCTTAGGGGAAAGTAAGAATGCACAACGATCCTCAACCCCTGTTTTATTTCAGGTACAAAGCTTCCTGCTTTCACTGATGAACCCGTCTTCGGAGGGGAAATTGTTCTTTGAAAATACCCAAAATGATGTGCTCATGAAATATATA